ATATATATATAGTTATGATATAAAATATAATTATGATGTCATAGAATCTTATAATGCTATATATTTGCACGCACACAAACAGGAAAGTCGTAACAAGATAATTATGGAATAGGCGGGTGAGAGTAACATGCCATTTGACTTGCCTCCTACTGATTTCGAGTAAATCCGGCATTATAGCATCGTCGTTATCATTGAATGAAAATGAAGAAAAAGAATTTTATAAGATTTCGGCGAACTCGCGAGGTGTAATACAAATTTAATCTCCCCCTCCCCTTTCTCTTCAGGATGTACAAAATACAGTTTATTTATAAATAGAATTTTTTATTCAGAGAGAGCGATAACCGGAATAGGTAATTTTCGCACGGTAACTCTGTTTCACACTTTCATCCTCTAATATTATACAGAGAGAAATTATACAATATTTTATTCCAAAATTTTTCATTTCAAAAATTGTCTATTTTTGTTGTCCAAGATCTTTTATACTCCGTTTGCTTTTTTTTTTTTCAAGCATCAAATTATTCAAGAGGAATCCGATGACAAAATCACTCTAGCTACGTTTTGCGGGGTTAATCAGAATGATCGCGATATCGAATAATTACGCGATATTTGTACTTTGTATTTGCCAATAATATATACGAGCAATTGTGGCGATTGTGTGTGGAATTATTACGAAATGATGAAAACTCGTTTAGCGGACGTCGTTATGGCGCAACGAGTGTCAATTCAATATCGTGCGCGAAAGAGCGACGATTATTAATTCCATCATCGGCACAGTCGCATTTTATTCCCAGTGTCAGCGATCATATACCTCGATTGACCCTACGTGCTCTCCTTTAGAGGAGTCGCTCCGCTCTCGTTTCATTCATGCGCGCATCTCGCGAGCGGCCGCGTGCCGGCCGACGCCGACGCCGGCGCCGCCCAGGAGACGACGACATCCGCGCGTCACGTACATTTCTCGTCTTGTGCACGAGGTCGATCGGCGCGGCCGGCGTGCGCTTGACAGCTCTCTCTCTCTCTCTCTCTCTCTCTCTCTCTCTCTCTCTCTCTCTCTCTCTCTCTCTCTCTTTCTCTCTCTCTTTCTCTCTCTCTCTTTCTCTCTCTCTTTCTTTGTCTCTTTGTCTCTCTATTCCTCTCTCGACCGGGGCGCTTCACGATATCGCTATCCATATACAGGGTGTCTGCTCCTTGGAAAAACATGAAAAACCTGGAATTCTCATGGATTTTTTTTGTTCCTGGAAAAATCAGGGAATTATCATAAAATTTTATTGGGAAATATTTTTAAATTGCTCTTTAATAATGCTTTTATATTAAGCAATCGGCAATCCGCCGATAAGTCAAGTTATGAATTATGTATTTAAAATATATTATAAATATATATCTATTTTTGTTTATATAATATCTAATAATTCAATGTCTTGACAAAATATTGAATGTACAGTACGTATTCTTTTTATTATAATTTTGTATGATAAAAAAATATAAATATTATGCAAATGAAAAGTGTTAATCTACAAAAGCTATTCAATTTTTCAGTACATTATTTTGAACAAAAATATCCTTGAAGATCGGGAAATTTTTTACAAGATTTAAATAGGAGAGAGAGAAAGGATACCTCGATATACAGGGTGTTTCCGAGTGGTACCTTTCGAATTATTTTTTGATCAAATCTCGAAATCGACTTTTCCTCCGCAAAAATTTGACGTAATAATTCTTTGACATTCGACTTCAAATAAGACTCAGGGTGGATCTTAGATGGCTTATAAGATTTACTTTAAATATTTGTAACGCGCGAATTTTACAGACCCTGAATTTTATTCATAGTTCAATTTCAATATATTAATATTTGAAGAGGAGGTACGACTTTAATTTACAATAGGATAAAGCTTACGAAATCTTAAAAGCCTCTCGATTTTATCTTTTGATATGTCAACTTTGAGCTTTTTTTCACCGCGGATCGGTAACACGAGCGCCAGCTCGGCTCGGACTTCTTTTGTGTCGCGCCGACTCTGCGTATTAAATTCGCCCTGCTTATAATCTGATGAGAAGTCGTTGCGCGCTCGTTAAGAGCATTGTTTCCTCCGGAATATTCTTTGTGGTTTTGCTATTCACATGTGCATATTACTCATCTTTTCCACGAAATGAAATCCTAGCTGGGGGCACGTGCTCGAGATGCTTTCTTATAAGATTTACAATCTCGCGAATTTATCATCTCCATCGAGTGAATAACTCAATCTTTTAGAGCTAAAACTTTAATAGACTAGCCAAGTTTATTAACAGTTCAGTATATTTTCTTTTTTTGTATTATACAAATATCTGTTTAAAAATTTCTTTAAAATTGCATTATAATTTATAATTTTCTAATATTTTATGTTACGTCTTCATAAGGCAATTGTTAAAAATTAAACTTTCTTGTCTCGAGACTTTGGACTAATATTTTTACGTTACGTTAGATTTGCGAAAATTTAAAATACTCGCAAAGTATATCAACGTGTTTAAAATTAACCAAGCTTTTATAAGTTTTATATGCACAGTTGCATGAGTTATTAATTTATTGATTAATGCCGCAATCGTATAATGAGTATCTCGTTATCGATAATTGGCATTACTCGTTTATTAGCCATATTATTATCTAATTGTGCGTTTTCTCGGAGATAATGACCTTTGAAATGGAAAATCACTTCTTGCGATGCGTTTCCCATCTTCTTATGTCCTATTAAACGTTCGTCTTGGGAATTAATAAACTTTTGGCATGGATTTTCATTAGTGCGGAAGCGATAACTAATTATCGCTGTCATCGTGAGTTTTCAACGAGTCGTTCATATACAGAATGCCTTAGAGTTCTCGATCTTGTTTTCAATATTAGATAGTTTGAAAATTTAATCAATTTTTTAGAAAACATTTTGAGAAAAATTATCATCTACTGGAATTTTTTGACATTTACTTTAAAATATTTTAACTAAATTTTTTTAGGTAAAATTAACTGAGAAACGCAAATATCTGCTATATGTAAACGTATGTATTTTGTACATCACACCGAGATTTGATTCGCCAAAACTTTTTCATTTTCAACTTTATAATTGTCTCGCCATTAGAGCAATCAATAATTTTTCACGTTTATTCATCATCTATTTACAATTGAAACTAGTATTTACATATTTATAACTATTTACAATTGAAAGAACGTTTAGTTGTACTCAAAGAGAGAAGCATTCTGTACATTATAAATTATTCTAAACCGATTCTCTCTATTGTCAATTAATGACACTTATAAATTAATATAGTGTCTATATTTTAATATATTCCAATATTTGATTGCTTGTCTAAACTTTCACGAGATAAAAAATCGTGTACCATTATAAATTATTACGACTTAATGCGTTTCGAAAATTGGCGTATTTGCACTCGTCATATTCAATTTTAGGAATAAAGGGTTCAATTAGAGTGTGGCGGTCGTCGATTCAGCGACCTTTCTCGCGTCCGGCCAAGTTCCAAGCTGTCGAACTGCAGAAACGAGCCTGTCGAGTCGGCGAAATTGTAAATTGCGAGCCAGCAGCGATTCAATTTCGACGATTGCTCGCGGCGTCTGTTCGACTCGCGACCACACCATACATCGCATACACATACATACATATATACGTAACATACGCAGAACATACGCAGCTTGCGAAACAATAATTGGCGAATTTGAAAGAACAATTCGCACGATTCTCTACGCGGTGCCTGATTTTGTCGGGGATAGTCGCGTTTCAAAAACAAATTCGCAATGATCGTTTTCCTTCGTAAAATTTAGCATCCGCTAAATACGTGGCAATTGACACGCGAAATACATACTTCAATTGCAGAATACGTGATCCTGCGACGAATTTTTTATCGTCTCATGATTGTGCATCCTCTCGCTTCGTGATTCTATAAGAATTTATAAAATAACTTGTGTTATATCTCTCCCGAGATGGTTCTAATAATAGCACATTAATTAATCTCATCATTTTTTTGCAAGAACTATATAATATTTGCCTCTCTTTATCTTGAAATTATTTATAGTATTTAATCTTTTTTTTTTTTTTTTTTTTTTTTTTTTTTTTTTTTTTTTTGCTTATGACTTTAATGAA